TAATATGTATATTTTAGAATTTATTTAAATCAGTTACTTCAGGAGAAATAATGTTGTAGATCTACTATGCATGTATACTCTAAAATTTCAAGATGAGGGTGTTGAATATTTTGTTTTTATTTTTTACCCATAGGATGCTATCGTGGAATACTTTGGGACTCCTCAGAATCAGTTTTATGGAATAGCTTTCCTGGGAGTGGGTGCATGTGTTGGTCTGTACCTCTGGAAGCAGTTTAAATAAACAAGAAAGAGTATTAGCAGACCAAACTTTATACTAATAATTTGTTTGTTAAAGTACATGTATTAAGCATACCATTTTTTTCCTTTTCTTGTAAAAAAAAAAAACTGATGTAATCAATGGAAAAATAATGAAAATGATAATTTTTAGCCAATTCAGTCATAATAGATGCACATGCATATTGAGAGAACTATCATTTACAATATTTGTATGTCTGTCTTTTTATCATTTATTTCCAGAGCATGCACAATATTGATAAAATTTCATGTTTTTTGACAAAAGTAATGTAGATGTTACCCTTAGCAAAATCAAATTGATTGAATTTTGATTTATTTTGTAGTTGTTTTCTGAGCATTGGATTTTCATTGTTTTTTGATTTGCAAAGAAATCAACTGTGCCTCCTTGCTAAAGTGTATGGGAAAAAAACATTGAAATAGCATTGAACATTGGATTTTGATTTATTTTGCATTGACTTTTGATTGAAAATGGCTGGATTTTTGCGAAATATGTAAATGAGATGAAGGATTTATTTGACATCACGGAAAAATGCAAAATCAATGCAAAAGAAATGAAATACGGTATGAAGCATTTATTGATGTCACGTAGCATTATTGTGACATCACAGAAAAATGTTAAAGTAATACATATAAAATCATTTAAGTGATGTTATGAAACTTGAAAAGTAACATAGAATAAATACATATGGTAACAAACAATATCCAGCATCATGCTCAATGCAAACATTATTACTAATAATCCATCACATGTATCTTTACCAAAATTTTGAATACTTATCTTAAAAATTCACCAGTACAGTTATAAATTCAAGTAAATGAATAACTAACTTCCTATTAATTAAATGTTACACTTGAATGTGTGTGAGACATGAATAAATCCCAAAAATCACTGACACAATAACAGTAATTCCATACATTAATCACATATCACAAAGGCACAATTTGAAGTACACTTCCTTGAATTCCATTTCTAGGTTACTCAGCAAATAAGTTTCTCACGTATTTCTGGACTGTTATTGGTAGTTTTTGTGGAACTGCATTAGTTGATCTTTTTTTCCATTTAACTATAGACTGCTTTAAATTTATTGAACATTTTCGGTGGCACAGGATCTAACTTCAAATTTTTGCACTTGGAGCATGTACATACTCTGAAAAAAAAAACACATTCAGGATATTTATCATTTGATAAATAAATGAATCTTTTAAATAAAAAAGAAATGAGAGCCGAGACTGCATGGTGTTTTGAGGTTTGGTGCATAATTAGTAATTCTATAGTGTAGACTAATTAGTTTATAGTTACATGCACTATCTGCTCAGCAGTGGACACCAGCAGTGTTGCTTAAACAAAGAGCATAGATTAACTTAATTTGATCAGAAAGCATGTGATGGAAATTAAGCCCCGATCTTTGTTTACATAAGACTTCCTTGGAGAGTGAAATTTAATACTTGGCATGTTCCCCCTCTCTGAAAATCCACAGAATGTGTCATGATGGTTAAAATAATGCTATAAACAGTGATTTAGAATAAATTTTGAGAAAAAAAAAAGAAATAACTTACTTCCTGAGAAAACAATGTATCCATTATTTGTATGTCATCTACTTCAACAGCACCATCTTGATGATGACCTTCAATATCACTTGTCTGTCACAAAACAACACTAGCTGTCTTCATCATTCTTAGATTCTACACAACTTTTTGCCATAATATGAATAGTTTAGTTCACAGGGAAGAACACAACAAAATGTTGATCATTTCCATCAAAGTACATCACATGGCTTCTAGCTTGTCTGGATGCAGTGCCAGCAGAATTTGAAATGGCTGATAAAGTGACGTAGAGTAATCACGTGATTTTTATCAGCCTCTCCCTGGTTTACAGCTGGTCAGCACTAATATAACCAGCAATGTACACAGCTGATAAAGCTACCATTTATTTCTGAATCAATGCTTCAGAAAATAAATACAAATTCAATCATGGATTTACCAAAGAGAACACTTCGTGTGTAATTTGTTATTGGTATGACATCATATAAATTCAAAATAAATGCAAAATAAATGCATTGAAACAACATTTATTGAAAAAATCAAATTTCAATCATTCCAAAATCAATGGTCTGAAGATTTTTGAATTGGATTCAATCAAAAATAAATGCATAACCAATGTTCAATGTATTTTCAAGACAAATAAAATCAAAAATCAATGCAAATATAGCATTTGTTTTTGCTAAGGGTACAACATGTTAGAGATTTTTATTAATCTCAGGATGCATGCTTTAACACTTAATTTTCATTTGAAATTTTGCACTTTATAATTATTGGGGTCGTTCTATTTCAAAAACTGTTTGCTACTTACAAAGAGTTCAACGAGATTTCCACTTGCCAGGTCCACTAACATGACTCTTTTAGTGGAAGGAAATTTTGTCAATGTAATTGACATGATACATGTTGATTGACTTAGTCACTTCGTTGTTTGTGTCATATTAGCTAAGTGGATTTCACTTTCAAGATCATGTTTCACTAACTGCTGAAAATAATTCGAAGAAATGTCTGAAAGACATGGTATAATATGTAGAACTCAGCATTATTCTGCCATATAGCACAATACTGAATGATTTTATTTATAAGTGCTACAATATTGTTTTCATGCAATGTCTTCATATTCCATTTGTTTTTTCATGTATTCATTACTTAGTTCAATTTCTTGTGGATTGTAAAGTCTTAATTTTATTTATTTGTGTTTAAATGTACCTGTGAAATATACACTACAAAAACATATTTTTTGAAAATTCTTTTGATTCCATAGTTTTTTTTTTTTTGGCTTGTTTGAATTTTTTTTCTTCAAATTTCCACTAGAGAATTGAGATAACGTTATCACCTTTTGTTGAGTCAGTGTTCAAGAAGAACATACTTGTCCTTTTCAAAAATAGTTGTTGTATGTGCAACCAAATTTCTAATTACATATAAAAAAAATTATTACAGGTAATAAATTTGGAAATTGAATTCATTTTTTATGAAATAAAACTTTTAAAAATTAAAAGAAAATACTGTATAGCGGGTTTTCTAGGCTGGTGTAAAATTTGGCGTTTTGCTGGCTCAAAGGTATACCAACAATTTTGGCATAATTTATTTTAGCTATACATATGGTTTTAACACATTGCAAGAAGAATATTGATTATTTCAATGATTAAAATTTTAGCGGGCAAGTACCAAAACGCTGAAATAAGCCAAGATTAGCACCCTGCTAAAATTATCCACTATAGGGTAGCATAGAAACATTTTCAAAATTGTAAATGTTTGTAAAATAGCTTGAATAATTTGTGAAAGTAGTTCATTAAAATGTAGCAATAATCTTGCATTACAATCGTACATAACATTCATAGGTACTTGGTATTTTAATTCTACAAAGTATCTTTTCGTTGATTAAAATATCACCATACTTTTATGATAACACTGTAACGTTATTATCATGATTATAGTATAGGTGTATTTTGAACAGCAAAGAGATAGGTTTAAAACATCATTTGCCTGTGATTATATAGTATAATTGTATATGACATTGTATATGACATTGTAATGTGAATACATCAAATGATTGTGCAATGTCTTTAATGCTCAGTAGTTAAGTACAGAGTGATATCATAACCTGTTCTTGTTTACTCAGTGGAGCTGTAGTAATAATGGAATGTAAGGCGGGCATTGTGTTATCAGATGTGATATAATGCTATAGTCATGGTTTAAACACATTTTATCATGATGTTGTATGAGAGTATATTCCTGTATCTACAGCCATTCTTGTGAGAGTATTTCATCAGCTGTTCTTGTTAAAGGAAGGGTATACTAGTTCGTATTGTACCGAAGACCTACATAATTATGAATATCTGAGGTGTGTGCATGTTGTAATTACATGTATATTACAAATGTTTGTGTAATAAAATATTTATAGACGTTTTCTTTATTTGTATTTAGTGTAGCCCATGTAATTTTTGCAGGTCATCAAAATGTGAAGGTGAAATATGAAGATAATGAACAGTATTCAAGCTCAGAAGTTCGTTGACACAATATGGAGCAGAGCACGGACAAAGAACAGTATTTAATCACATGAATCCAGAAAATAGTACAAATCGTTTTAAAAATACTCAGTCTCCTGTAATCACTAGTCCAGAGGAAAATGATCAGATGCCTGGGAGAAGTAAGTATTCCCCGTCAACTGATTGCACCTGCTTTTAGCCCTATATATTTATCGGGTATAAAAAGGAATAATCGGTAGTCAAAGAATGCCTCCGAATCAGTGAAAAACTGATAGTTTTTCATAGGTCAACTCTTTGAGAAATGTTTGCAAATAAGACCATTATAGCGACCCAAGAGTTCGAGAATTACGATCTTTTTTTTCACTTGAATGTATATTGCAGAAAACTAGGTCCTTGTCATATATCTTTATGGTTGTCCTTCAGTCTGTAGTATTAAAGGGTAAGAGAAGAAAAAAAGGATGGAAACAGGGAGAAGAGGCCCTTATTAACTCAAGGGAAAAAGGTTTTTTATTTTGACAATGTGCACTATACAGAAAAAAAATTATTTCAGGTTTATACCTTATTCGGATATCCCTTTTAATATTAATTCTTTTCTTGTCGAAAAAATTGCTTAAGATAGTGTCTTCAAAACAGCAATTGCTTTTGACTGGCCTGGAGGTCTTTCTGTTCACCCAACATTAAAAGCTCAAATTAAGAGGCCAAATTTCAACAATACATGTATACATTATACTGCTTTTATTTGTAGATTTTACAGTTTCTGCAAATCTTTTCTATATGTTAGTATGTACTAAACTTTCTCACTGGGAATGGTAACGCATATCAGACACATTCCTGCGAAACATTCTCCAGTTCTTCTGGAAAGTGTTTAAGTCTAAAATAATAACCCCAGTGAACATCAACAACAGAATAAACATGGCGACTGCCCCGATCGCCTGGCCTCCGGGGGCTTCTTTCGTACTATGTGTGCCAGCCTTCTTCTTCTTGACTTTCAAACTCTTCAGTACCTCCTCAAACCGTTGTTTATCATACAAATCTCCGTGAGGTGTGTTACTTGGTTTTGTACTGGCTTCTCCCAATACGGAAACTGTGGTCATGGTATCTGATGCAGAGGTTGGCAGGGTATGCTCACTTGCCCATCTCTTGACAGTGGTCGAGTATCCGGACATCGATTTACTACTCAAATGGCTTGAATGTGGTGGATCATCAGCTATTTAGAAATTGTGAAATATAGTTTATACACATAACGAACGCATCTCAAAAGTTCATTGAAAGCAGTACAAATCAGGATTGAGCAAAGCAAAAACGGACATGTAAAACATAAGAAGTGTAATCATGTGCCATGGATCGGAGGCGTAAGCATCACATGTCGACCAGTTCTACCCATCATGTGCTCAATGTCAAAATCAGGCAAAGGGAAATTCATAGTCAATTCAATACATACTTACTGATCTAACCATCATATGAAACGCCAGTTAGCATTCGACATAATTATAGCTTGTATTTGTTTATGAGGTGTCGAATGGTGAACTTTCGAGACTGATGATATCCTTATTTCATCAACTTGTTTTTCAAAAGCTTGGCATGTTTAAGAAATTGTTTTATGAGAGCATATTTTTGGTATCGATTGAACTGGGAGACATCAGCTCTTATTTGAGGGTGATAAGGGTTCATTGCTACGTAAGTAAGGGAAGTTGGTGACATAAAAGTTTGATATCTTTTATTTTAAGTTGAGTGGGATATCGAGTCGACATATAAATGGAAGTAACTATTTGTTAATAGTGTAACGTGTAACCAAATTTAGGGTCCGTTTTCAGGAGATACAGGGTCCAATATATATAAACTTTTCCTCTGGCTCTATCTGAGCCTATAATTAATATGGGGAATCAATATTATATACAAAAATAATTGTTATTCGTCATCCATAGGGGATGCTTGTCCCTGGGGGTTTTTTTGTATTGAAACAGCAGGACACAATTAGAGGTTAGTTCTTTGTAACCGGGTACTGTGACTGGGCTCCTTGCACCTGGTTCTGTAACCAAGTTCCTATTGAATTGAGCACTCGGTGCCTCACCCTTACTCAGGATTACTACACCTTGTGCTTCAATTCAATTCCTTGGCTAAATACAGACCGGTGCTCTGTACCCTAGCCTTATCTTTCTTTTTCCCTTTAAATACCTCTAATTTTTATTACTACCTTTAATCTTCTATTCAGCTTCTTGCTTCTTCTGTGGGTTTCCGAGAGAGAGGTCGACACTGCCTCTGCAGTCCTTTATATAGCAAAGGGCTATACCATTCAAACAGGGGTGAACAGGCTCCTGGACGGTTCCATTATTCCAGGTCACACAAGCGTTTGAATGGTATAGGCCGATTGCCTTATTCATTACTCATTACACTACCCACGCCTCTGTACACTTGCGTCCCGCATATTTATTGGTTATGTTTTTTTTTAGACAATAAAAAGATCAACAAAACGAGGTTAAGAATTCCTTTCTTATATCCAGTTAAACAATTATTCAAGTATTTACAACAATAGACTTATGGACATGTGCATTGTTTCTTTTCCAAACTACATCACTATAATTAGTCATTCCAAATGTCTTCCTCAACTCTCTCCACACATTCACCATCCTTTTGGTATTTTCTTACAACTCTGACTGTCCTCTGGTGACGACTTGTGTCCGTCTGAGTGCTGACATCCATCCTAGTAACATGATCCTTACAGCAGGGGCAGTGATGTAAAACCATGGGCGCCTCATGATCCTTACCATCATCTACCAGGGTTGAACCTTTGTCTTCAGATTGATCAGGCACCTTGTCTACAAGTTCGTCTGCCTTGCACTTGACTCCAGGGAGAATGGGCGAAGTTTTCTTCCTGATGGTTCTACCAACTTCAAGTTTCTTCATATGAACTGAATCACATGGATCCTCTTGCCATTCAGGATTTCCATCACGGTCATCTACAACATCCGACTTGGAGTTCAATGGAACACTTCTTTCTCCATCTTGCAAACCATTAGTTGAGTGTAACCTCTTCTGGTGTCTCCTTAGACGTGAATGCTTGGCAAATGCTTTGTCACACTAATTACACTTAAATCTCCGTTCATTTATCTCAATAGGTGCAAGTAATGGTTCAGTGCATATCTTTTCTTTCCTTGGTGGAATCAATGTTTTCTCATTCACATTGACTCTGAAACACCCTAGGTGACCCTTAAGTTGGAGTGCAAGCTCAGCTCCTCCAACACACATTTTCCCTGAGAAAACATCCACCGAACATCTAATATATCTCAGAAAATCTAAACCTAAGATACCGTCGATTTCGATATTTGCTACAACTGCCTCAAAAGTAAACTTTTGATTTCCCAATATAATGTCCAATGTGCACTTACCTTGCACATCCAATGGCCTTCCATCGGCTAATACTATCTTCTGAGTTATGGGCGACATTTCCACAGCTTCAGTGTTAAGCATGTTCTCAAAGACTTTATTTGACAAAATCGTCAGTGTAGCCCCGGTATCCACTAACAATGTACAAGGCACCTTATTAACACTAGCTTTGATAAATAACCCAGACTGAACATCAACTCTTGTTTGAGTGACAGAACTCCTATTCGACTTCCTATTCTTTGACTTGGTCTCTGTAACCTCTTTTTGTTCTACTGCCTCCTTTGAGGATGTCGTGCATGCATTGCACGTTTTACAACTGATCTCTGTTCTCCTTTTAACATAACAGTCTTTAGCCCTGTGGCCTCGTCTACCACAGTTATGACACTTAAAAGGGAACCTTGTTTGGTCAGAACTTGATATCGAACTTGATTCATCAGATTTTAGTTGTCTACTGGCCTCTTTGCATTCTGACAAAGTGGCTATTTTGTTCTCTAGGTCTCGCAGTGACGACCGAAGTTCATCTCGTAATTGTTTCAAATCTTCCCGTACCTTTGAATCAGCTTCCGATCGCCCCTCCAATTCAGTATGTGCTGTTCTGGCAAAACTAACATCGTGTCTTCTCTGGCGTTCAGCTCTACAAAAAGCTTCAATCTCCACAGCCAGCCGAACTGCGTCATTTAAAGATTTGGGCCGTGACTGCTGTATTCTAAGATGCATATCAAAGTCGGTTAAGGCGTCGATGAACTGATCTTTAGCAATCATCTCTGTAACCTCACGTGGTGCCGTTGGGTACGCTAAATGGGCTAGTCGTCGTATACTTTCCCCTAATTCTGGCAGTGTCTCCTTTGGCCTTTGATGTTTTTCCTTTAACATGGCTCGATAAAGTTCCGTCTGATTAGTCGGTGCAAATCTTGCCTCTAACGCTTCACACAAATCTCTATATGCACAAGCATTATCTGACTTCATATTTCCAAGAACTGTTTGTGCTTGGCCTCTTAATGATGCTGCCAGGTACAAGCCTTTTTGTCTATCATTCCACAGGTTGATGCTACTGCATGCCTCGAAATGAGCTTTGTAATCAATCCAGGACCCAGTACCATCAAATGTCGCAGGCTTCATCACAGTTTTACCAAATGTGTTAGTGCTTGGACAATAACCACTGTTTTCCTTCACTGGTAACGCTGCACCTAATGGTGTGCTTGGTACAGTCGGCATAGGTTCTCTGTCCTTCGCAAGACTCCATGTAACACTTGTGGGTGTTGACATTGAGCTTACACCTAACGTACTCCAGTGTACATGCGGCGTTGAAATCCGTGGTGTATATGCTGATTTACCCAGTGACACTCCTAAGTATGCCGACTTTGGTGTGGTGTAAACATCGCCTCTGTCCCAAATATCTTTGGTTCCAGGAACATGGAAATCATAAGCTTTGGCCTTGTATTCCTCGTAACCACCCATGGCTCCTTTCACATTACTTGCTTTTGTGGTGAGGTTTACGTTAACTTTACCCATCAACTCATCTAAGCTGTCGTCGGCAGTTTTTTGTCTCAAGTCTACACCAGAATCAGTAACAAGAGAGGGCCTACTAACATTAAATGAGCTTGGTGTAGACTTTAACTTTTCTAACGTTTCTCTTAATTGTCGTCGTCTAACGTCAATTTCTTCAAGATCTGCCCACAGTTCTGATTCTTGTTCATTCTTCATGTTTAATTTCTATATACCAAGTAACCAAACAAAAATACTCGGTACTCAACTATATTGAATCTTACTGTTGTACACGTATCTAACACAGTGCACACAGAACTCTGTACCTTGTATCTGAACCAAGTAAAGGATCTGCATGTGTTCTCGGAAACACAGTGACAGAACACAGTTAACACTGTAACATAAACTTAATTCAACAGATTTCAGCAATTAAATGTACCCTGTATCCCTTTACCAGCTGCCACCAAAATGTAACGTGTAACCAAATTTAGGGTCCGTTTTCAGGAGATACAGGGTCCAATATATATAAACTTTTCCTCTGGCTCTATCTGAGCCTATAATTAATATGGGGAATCAATATTATATACAAAAATAATTGTTATTCGTCATCCATAGGGGATGCTTGTCCCTGGGTTTTTTTTGTATTGAAACAGCAGGACACAATTAGAGGTTAGTTCTTTGTAACCGGGTACTGTGACTGGGCTCCTTGCACCTGGTTCTGTAACCAAGTTCCTATTGAATTGAGCACTCGGTGCCTCACCCTTACTCAGGATTACTACACCTTGTGCTTCAATTCAATTCCTTGGCTAAATACAGACCGGTGCTCTGTACCCTAGCCTTATCTTTCTTTTTCCCTTTAAACATCTAATTTTTATTACTACCTTTAATCTTCTATTCAGCTTCTTGCTTCTTCTGTGGGTTTCCGAGAGAGAGGTCGACACTGCCTCTGCAGTCCTTTATATAGCAAAGGGCTATACCATTCAAACAGGGGTGAACAGGCTCCTGGACGGTTCCATTATTCCAGGTCACACAAGCGTTTGAATGGTATAGGCCGATTGCCTTATTCATTACTCATTACAATAGATAATATGCTGTTGATCCATAACTAAATGTTGAGTTGTGAGTTAATTTAAGAACAAAACTTTGTGATAAACGTTACGACTTAACTTTTCAATCGCTAACTCTCTTACCTATACAGCGACAAACAAGTTGATAAAACAAACAAGATTATCAACAGTATCGTTTAGTAAGTTTCGTAAGTTCTAGGGTCGATACAATAATCTTGTCAGAAAATACAATTCATCATTAAGTGAATTTAAGTCCAATACTGAATGACGTTTTTCATATTAATTGTTAGACTATTATTTACACATTGAATTATCGACGGATTTTTCTGATTTTTCCCGATCATGAAAAGCAGAACACGGCGGATGTGACTGGTTGGCAGAGGATGCTATATCCTCAATGGTACCTGATCCCACTTCTGATGTTTTAGAGGTCCTGTTTGCTCTGCTCCAAAGTTTGATGTGTTTAGTGAACTTTAGAGCTCAAATACTGTTCGTAACCTCCATGCACCAGTATTTCATGAAATTAAATGTATGTAAATGTTCATTTGAGAATTGTAAACACCTGCAACAATCTTATTGTTTGTAAATATTACAGTCATTTATATGATCATGTCAGAAAAAAGGCATTTTACACAAAGAAATAATGTCTTTCGAAGTCTGTTTTATGCAAAAAGGGAAAACACTTTTGGATACCCAACGCTGTGGTTGACCTTTATACCTGTTACCTGCCAACTGACATCTCTAAACACATCATATGTACTATATGAGACTGACTGTTGAATAACAATGATCAAATAGAGTCTATTCTTCAATATTCTACCTGGCAATGAATTGTACTTGTAAACCTTGTATAAGTTTTGCATTGACTTGTCAGAATTGGTGGCTTTAATTATCAGTTTACTGTGTTGTTCTATCAGGTTCGTGCTATGAATACATGATTAAATCTCGGGGACCGACCTTCACGTTTACAGATGAAGTACAAATTGTTGTCACATGTTCCCTCGTACCAGTCACTGCTGATGTAAATACACGTGTCTGGAATAAAATAGGGGTGGAATTAGCATTAAATTCAAAACATTACAAGAAAGATCTAGTATTGGTACAACTATTCGATTTGATACAATTACCGGAAATTCATTATAGTAGAAGGTATAATACATGTATATAGTAAAAATTGCCCTCTTTCAATTAATTAAAGGTGAAGAATTTTATTAAAGATAATGATGACAAAAAAAAAGAACAATTCAAGTTGCATTTGATACCAATATGGCAGAAACATAATAGCTTCCAAAAATATTTTTACTAAGAAAAAAGATCTTGGAACAAGGGCACGTGGACACGTCACACATTTACAGACCTGGCAATCACCATAAGTTTATTTGAAAACAATAAATCTATCATGACTTGGATGGTATATTGAATGTACAGCAAAAAGTGTAATGAACCAAATGTTCCAATCGATTTCAGTAGAAAGAAGCGTATTAAGGACTATTCGTACCTGGGTTTCTGGCAGAATGGTAGCCGCCCGGTCTTGGTAAGAAGTCTACAGGGGACCCGTCTACCCAGCTCTTGTCCGTCAGGAATCTTCTCATCCCGATCCACACCGGCATACCCACCGACTCCGTCCTGTAAGACACAATAATTATTGTATCGAAACCTAAGGATAGCAGCTGTATCTTTTTACCAGATTTGTTGGTTACAAGGTCCTGCTTGAAAAACGTGGTAGAGTCTATAACATAACCTAGTCCTGGATTCCGGGAATATTATTTCCGGTATGGTTTTTTGTAATAGAACACATATTCGATCCCGATGCAATATACTTTTGTAAACATGATGATGTGTGGCAACTAATTCGATTTTTAATCGGAGACCTAATATTATGACATCCAAGCGAAAGTACGATTTCACTAAGTTTGTGGTATTTAATAGTAAACATAATAAATTTCATGACCTATTAGTATCACTTCTATACACAAGCATGCCAAAGTAGAACTAGTGACCTACTTTAGTACTTAGCATGTGCACGTACTGCAGAATATTATTTACTTGATTAAGTATGTTAATCTACCGAGACAAAAAGAAGGTTGTTAAAAGGAATCCAGCCCATATAAAGCTAGGTAATTAGTCTCTAAATGTGAACCTGGATAAATGGAATTAGGTCCTAGAAATAAAATAACGTTCAACGAGCAATATATGATGATATAGGTGTTCAACATAACCTAATAAAATGTTCAACTGTGCCATAACTCATAAAAAAAAAACATTCATCGGAAACTAAAATCCGATACACAGGGAAACCTAGTAATCCAGTCATGGTTCAACAGATCCCAGTCACCGAAAAGTGTAACCCAGCCACTGAACTACATATCCCAGTGAGTCACTATTCAACATTACACAGTCATGGTTGAACATAAACAAGTCTCTAAACTACATAACCCAGTCACAGTTCCACATAAATAAGTCTCTTAACAACCTAACCCAGTCACGGTTCAACATAAACAAGTCTCTAAACTACCTAACCCAGTCACAGTTCTACATAAAGAAGTCTCTAAACTACATAACCCAGTCACGGTTCTACATAAAGAAGTCTCTAAACTACATAACCTAGTCACGGTTCAATATAAACAAGTCTCTTAACTACCTAACCCAGTCACAGTTCTACATAAACAAGTCTCTAAACTACATAACCCAGTCACGGTTCTACATAAACAAGTCTCTTAACAACATAACCCAGTCACGGTTCAAGATAAAAAAGTCTAAACTACATAACCCAGTCACGGTTCTACATAAACAAGTCTCTAAACTACCTAACCCAGTCACGGTTCTACATAAAAAAGTCTCTAAACTACATAACCCAGTCACGGTTCTAAATAAACAAGTCTCTAAACTACATAACCCAGTCACGGTTCTACATAAAAAAGTCTCTAAACTACATAACCCAGTCACGGTTCAAGATAAAGAAGTCTCTAAACTACATAACCCAGTCACGGTTCAAAATACTTAAACAGGGTTATTTTCGCCAATTGTTATTTTCGCCTTTTGAACTTGTGAACAATTTTGTCCCATTTTAAATTCGCCCAGTCATAGTTCTGTTTTAAAAATTTTGCAGTGTAATTTGATCTCGTCCCGTTTTAAATTCGCCCAGTCAAGGAGAGGGCGAAAGAGGCGAAAATAAAACGGGGGCAAAAATTTCCCTGTATACAGTAAATAAGTCTCTTAACTACATAACCCAGTCACGGTACAAGATAAAAAAGTCTCTAAACTACATAACCCAGTCACGGTTCAACATAAACAAGTCTCTAAACTACCTAATCAGATTAAATCCAGTCACGGTTCAACATAAACAAGTCTCTAAACTACATAACCCAGTCATGGTTCAACATAATCAAGTCTCTAAACTACCTAATCGGATTAAATCCAGTCACGGTTCAACATAAACAAGTCTCTAAACTACATAACCCAGTCACGGTTGAACATAAAAAAGTCTCTTAACTACATAACCCAGTCACAGTTGATCATAACCAAGTCTCTAAACTACCTAACCCAGTCACGGTTCTACATAAACAAGTCTCTAAACTACATAACCCAGTCACAGTTCTACATAAATAAGTCTCTAAACTACATAACCCAGTCACGGTTCAATATAAACAAGTCTCTAAACTACATAACCCAGTCATGGTTCTACATGAACAAGTCTCTAAACTACCTAAACCAGTATGTCACTGTTCTACATAAACAAGTCTCTAAACTACATAACCCAGTCACGGTTGAACATAAAAAAGTCTTTCTACATAAACAAGTCTCTAAACTACCTAACCCAGTCACGGTTCTACATAAATAAGTCTCTAAACTACCTAACCCAGTCATGGTTCAAGATAAAAAAGTCTCTTAACAACAAATCCCAGTCACGGTTCTACATAAATAAGTCTCTAAACTACCTAACCCAGTCACGGTTCAACATAAACAAGTCTCTAATCTACCTAACCCAGTCACGGTTCAATATAAACAAGTCTCTTAACTACCTAACCCAGTCACGGTTGAACATAAAAAAGTCGTTCTACATAAACAAGTCTCTAAACTACCTAACCCAGTCACGGTTCTACATAAACAAGTCTCTAAACTACATAACCCAGTCACAGTTCTACATAAATAAGTCTCTAAACTACATAACCCAGTCACGGTTCAATATAAACAAGTCTCTAAACTACATAACCCAGTCATGGTTCTACATGAACAAGTCTCTAAACTACCTAAACCAGTATGTCACTGTTCTACATAAACAAGTCTCTAAACTACATAACCCAGTCACGGTTGAACATAAAAAAGTCTTTCTACATAAACAAGTCTCTAAACTACCTAACCCAGTCACGGTTCTACATAAATAAGTCTCTAAACTACCTAACCCAGTCATGGTTCAAGATAAAAAAGTCTCTTAACAACAAATCCCAGTCACGGTTCTACATAAATAAGTCTCTAAACTACCTAACCCAGTCACGGTTCTACATAAACAAGTCTCTAATCTACCTAACCCAGTCACGGTTCAATATAAACAAGTCTCTTAACTACCTAACCCAGTCACGGTTGAACATAAAAAAGTCGTTCTACATAAACAAGTCTCTAAACTACCTAACCCAGTCACGGTTCTATATAAATAAGTCTCTAAACTACCTAACCCAGTCATGGTTCAAGATAAAAAAGTCTCTTAACAACAAATCCCAGGCACGGTTCTACATAAATAAGTCTCTAAACTACCTAACCCAGTCACGGTTCAACATAAACAAGTCTCTAATCTACCTAACCCAGTCACGGTTCAATATAAACAAGTCTCTTAACTACCTAACCCAGTCACGGTTCAACATAACTAACTCTCTAAACAACCTAACCTAGACACCGTTCAACATAACCAATTCTCTAAACAAGCTAACCCAGTCATGGTTCAATAGAACCAACTCTCTAAACAACCTAACCCAGTCACGGTTTAACATAATCAAGTCTATAAACAACCTTACCCAGTCACGGTTCAACATAACCAACTCTCTAAACAACCTAACCTCGTCACGGTTCAACATAACCAATTCTCTAAACAAGCTAACCCAGTCATGGTTCAATAGAACCAACTCTCTAAACAACCTAACCCAGTCACGGTTTAACATAACCAACTCTCTAAACAACCTAATCCAGTCACAGTTCAACATAACCAACTCTCTAAACAACCTAACCTAGTCATGGTTTAACATAATTAAGTCTATAAACAACCTAACCCAGTCACGGTTCAACATAACCAACTCTCTAAACAACCTAACCCAGTCAAGGTTCAACATAACCAACTCTCTATTACAACCTAACCCAGTCACGGTTTAACATGACAAAGTCACAAAACAGCATAGCCAAGTCACCAAGAAACATTTTCCAATCATGGAACAAAATAAATGTGTATAATTTTTTATTTCCTATGTAGCTTGGAACACAAGCTTTGATTGGTTACAGAGTTGGATGTTAAATTTTGGCACCCCGCTTAAGCAGGGGGTAAATAAAATGTGATGTCACAAAACACACTCTCTCTATGATAAAATCCAAATAACATGGTGTCAGGATGCATTGTAGTATGTAGTTATAGAAGTTATCTGATCCATAGATTGGCTCTGATGTTTATGGGTCCAAAGTAGGAAATAAATTCGTTATCCAGGTCCAATTAAGGGTGTATGGTGATTCCATACACCCTTCTTCCTCAAAGTATACAGAATAAATCCCTGTACACCCTTGATTGGACCTGGATAATTAATACTATCCAAAATAAGGCAGATTATATATATAAAAGTTGTAAGAAAATAATTTATTTCACACAAAAGAGATTTGATACTTAAAATTATGATTAGTTTTTTTTTGTATCCGGCTTTGCACAAATTTTAAACAATATTAAGTTGCATCATCTATGAAAGATCACTTCCAACAGAGTTAATTCATAAATATATAACATATATAACAGTTCAACTAATGATCTGCATCCAAAATTAGCTACACATACAATTCTAAGTCCATGCGAATGTATTACATGTACATCATTTTGAATCACTTTTAAATTATGGATATATAATCATCTGATAATTATACAAATTCAAGTTCTATATTGAAAAAAAATTATGGCTGCACGAGTGTTCCTTTTAAAATAACACAAAAATCCAATGATTGTTGAATGTAAAATTTGTTTCACTTAAAGTCAGAAAAACAGAACAAGTTAATATTTTCCTCTAGTCAACTGATATAAAATTTTCATCAATTTCTTCCAACATTTACTAAGTAATGGTTCAAGTAAGAATTAGTGATACAACACTTTGGAATTGGTGTGGATGTGATATGAATGAAATCATGATTATCAGAGTTAAGGACTTTACTCATCTACAGTAGCAAAGTACATCATGGATTTGCCCTGACTGTCTATTTGAACAACATAGTGATATTTCATCATATCGTGATATATATATATATATATACATCTTTACTCTTTAGCAATGCTATTTTTAATTGTTATTTCAATGGATAGAGAAGTTTTTCAGCTTCTCTATAAGTAATGTTTTTTACAGTGGAGGCAATAAGGATTCTTGCTTCTACAAGCAATACATCCCTAAAATATGCAACTCCCTCATTCAATCTCTGTCCTGGCCTAAAATAAAATGTATGAAATAATTAAGAATAAAGTCGTCTATAATTAATAATAATCAAATCAAGATCATAACAGATGTGAATTATAATAAATTATGGATATTAAGAAATATACGGTTTACTTAAATATAATTAACAATTTAGTTAGTATACAAAGATATAACTCCAGATTGTTATTACAGGGATATTTTAAATATCACAGTTAGTTGAATGTTGACTAAATATAATAAACTATCATACCCATCTTCCAGCGTTGCTTTTAGTTTTCCATTAGTGCAGTTTTTTTAACCTAAGGTAAAACCCTGGAGGACTGAAGATACCACTAATATCCAAAAAGAGAAATATATACATTTTAATAATTTTTCCATCAAAAAATAACAAGAGGCCCAGGGGCCACATCGCTCACCTGAGCAATTTGCTAGGAAAAAAGACATATCAGATCAGAACTAAAAGTTTACTGAGGTGGGGGTGGGGCTTGAATTTTAACCCCCAGGGGTCATGATTTGAACAAACTAAAATCTTCACTACCTGAGGATGATTCCATATCACTAATCATGGCTTTAAAGTACTTGAAAAGAAGACTTTAAAAAGTTTCCCTAGATATTCCAATGTAAATTTTTTATC